GCTTTTATTTATTTATTTTTTTTTTTGACGTTTGACTGGATATCCAAATTTTTTCAGAGGCAAGGTTTATGGTAACTTCAAACACAAATGTCTTGTGTGTTATCAACTCAATGCTTATCGAAATGCTTATGGAAGTGGCTTTTAGTTCTTTTTGTGTATGGCACAAGGCTACAGTAGAATGTCTTGTGTTCTTATCTACTCAGCTCACAGAAATATTCAAACCATAGCACATTGAAAGTGGTGGCTTTCACATTTTTTTTATGTGATTGTTTGACTGCCACATGTTTAAGAGGCAAGGCTGTATGTTAATTGAGTTTTACAATGGCTGCTTCAAGCTGAAATCTGCTTCTATGACAACATAAATTATTTGGTAATCAGCTGTTTTTATACAGACATTATTTTAAAAGTAGGGCCTACTCTTTGTTCTTCTAGCGATATGACCTGTTATACGTCATAATATGTCCAGAACTTACAGGATATGAAAACTCACCAATTGTTCATCCTTGTGTAACCCTGTAGTTTTCTCGAGAAGGTGCTGATTTGACTATATTTTTATGCTGTGCTACACCGATGACATTTCTACGGTGTCTTTTGTATGGGTAGGGTACAGTCCAAACATTTGTGTTACTATTTGTGGCATCAATTGATAGTCCAAAGACAAAATCTTCACATCTGGCCACAATTTTTATCGATTGGGATTGAACCAGCGACCTTCAGCTTGAAGGTGAGCACAACCTCATGGACAGCCATACAGCTGACTGGTTGGTCAGGTGATGCAGTCTGTACCAGTAAGGTAACTTGAGATGCTACAATGGCCGCACTTGGAATGTACTCACCTTGTCACCGACCTTGACGTAAACTTGTTGAACATCTTAATTGCTGATTGCTGAGATTTATCCTTTTATGGTAGGTTAAAATCATTGCTAGGTAACGTGATTATTTTGTATGTACTGGTTAAAGATTGGAGGTGACAGATCAGCTTCCCTAAGGACTTGACAGATCGATATGGTTTTACAAAAGATTTATGTTTTAGAATGCTCGATTATTAGTATTTTTAGTGAAAGACTGGACCAAAGAATCAGATCTCAGTCAGTAACATATCTGTCATCTGATTTATTCAATACTCATCCTTCACTCACATTCTTAAATGATAGTCAAAGATTATACACTCTGAAATATCGCCATTGTATTGTTGCTATTTCCAAGGCGCATTTTTGTTTTAGAGGGTTAAATTTTATTAAATAAATTAAACCTGTAATTTGGCATAACATTTGGGATGCAGTTGGGAAGTGTTTTATTGTCAGCATCGTCGGTTTTTGGAGTGAAATAAGTACAATTAAATTTAACGTCAACTTATCATAAAAATGGTGACGATTTTGGTAAATTAATATTTCTCTATGCATCTCAATCTACAGGTGAGTTTTCTTACACGTAAAATTGTCGACCTAAAACACTGATAATAGTTACAAAATGTCTCAGAATTAGTTAAGAATAGGCCTACTCATAACTAGTAAAATATGTAGGTATTCTTGTTTAGGAAAGGTAATGAAAACGATATTAGTTAATAAAATAAATATCAAATTCGAGAAATTGAATTACATTTTTTAATTCTTGTAACCTCAATTTGATTTCTTCATAGTCTATATGATCTATTAAATTCTTAATACAATTGTCTATTAATTATTTATTTTTGTAGTTTAAAAACATAATTTAACGTCGTAAGGAGGTTTTCAATATTTAGCCGGGTACTGCTAGGCGAGGCCCGTGCAATGTGCGCCTGCCGAAATCGATACGTAACCCGCTACACACCGGCGCACTGCAGACCAATGGACCAACGGCGCGACGAAATGTCTACTATCTGTTGTTTCTCTTGTAAGTCTGTTTACAATAATCAGCTGTAAGTTTGCAACAATTGCCAACAATGCTAAACTAACTCTGTTTCTTTCTGTTCTCGGTGCTGTTTCCCTGTCTGCGTATCGCCACAGCTGTAAGTATTTTGTTTTGCTCGGTTGGCTAACCTGCAAGCCGCATTGTTTGTATACATTGCGTACATGCATGCTTTCACGCACTATGTGTATGTTTGTTTTGATACATTTGTGTGTAACGGATTAATAGTTTTAGGCTAACTAAGAATTTGCTTAACATTTTAAAGTGGATAACATCATTGAAATGTAAACTTGTAGCCTATGAAAATCACAACACGTATAAGGAATAGGCCTAGCTTGAAATAAAAATAAATATAAATTGGAGTTTGGACTATTTTAAAAGGAACTCTTCTCTTAATGATGTCCTCCACCAATACAAGGCCGTGGCGAGACAAATGTGGCAACGTCGCAGGCCTGGCCAACTGAAACAGCTGTTGCACTAATACACAATCTAGTATCTGTGCAATGTTTTGTTGTTGCTGTTATTGCCATGGCAATAGGCCGCCGGTGCGACGTTGCCACATCAACGCCGCTGCAGAGAAGGCTATGGGTAAAGTATGGAAGCTTTGTTTGCGTGTTTTATCAATAGCCTGTTATCAGAGGATGTGGCTATCTTTGGGTGCAAACTCGAGGCTATCGTAGTCGATTTGTCCGTAGATACAGCGGGGTTTATTTTCTTCAGTAGGTTTTGGAGTAACATAATATAGAATATAGATATAGATTCAACGTTTTGTACCATTGGAATCAACATTCAACATTTTTTAAAACCCTCTATTGATGTAAATGTGTATAAATTATATTTTATAGATAATTTAATAACGAATTCGAGAAAAATAACACGACGTTACAATTGAATCAATTATTAGAGGCATGTACAATCCTATGAGTTTACTCATAATTGAATAGATCATTAAGTTTTTCTTCGTAGAAGCTTAGGTCTACTCTAATTCTAAGCATACGTGGTTGACAAATTTAATTCACAGTTCATCTTCATTTTATCTGTAGAAAGAAAATCAGTGCGTTTACTAATTTACAACACGATCTTTCGACGTAACATTTTGTAAAATTTTAACGTCTTCTGCAATGTAAGTATTTAGCATCAGTGTGAATTGCAAAAGAAATACTGTACAGTAAACAATAATTTCCTCTACTTGCATTGAATCATGCATAACTAAAGTAATGACACTATCTTTTTCTAGATAAAATTCATTGTTACCTTTTTTCCTGTCAGACCTCTCTTTCAACCATGGATTCGTCGTCTTATCTTCAGACATCTTTTCACTACGATTTTGACTGTTCATACTCTATTTTATTTTTTCCTTCACTATCAGAACACTCGTATGGTTCACCCAAAGTGTTTTAAAACTTGCAAACGTAACGTAATTCGCACCGTCTTTTGTTCTCAATACGTTTCTTGATAAGGCGCGATAAGGTCATTATGATAAGCCAAGATTGACGGCTTCGTAACTTATCACTGTGACCTTTGTTATCAGTGATAATTGCCCCCTTTGTTTTGATATCTGGATTGATAGCTCATCCCGCGGGTGCTTGGATATTGAAAATTAATCTTGTTGGGAAAGACAAGAAATTGTTTGGTAAATGGTTAGGGAGTTGGTAATTTTGTCGGTTGTCGTGTTTTGTGTTTTTGAAAACAGTTTCTACTGTGCGTTTTCATTGACGTTCTCTAATCGTTGAACGACATTCATTACGTCATACTCTATGGTACTTGGGTTGGTAATGTCTTTACATCAGAAAGAATAATGTACCTTCGATTTAAGGTTGTAGCTTGTGACCTTATAATCATAATGGATTTCGGTAGATGATTGTGGGGCCTGCAGTTATACATTTTAACATTGGTTGTAATGCAGTTGTTCACACCTTTTTTTCAATATTGTCCATCAATAAGGTTCCTTAAATCTAAGACTTGAATACGAAAACTAGACATTATATCTATAAGGCCTAGTTGTAGCCAATATTTTATTCAAACGGACATAGTTGATAATTCACTAGGGTGTGATACAAGCATCGATGTATAGAGTTATTATACATCGATGGATACAAGTCAGTTCCATTTCTCCCATAGTTTTTTGATAGTTTATGAGTAAAATATGCTGTTAGCACTCTAGGTTGTCATTTAATTTAGTTTTGGCTTTTAAAGATTTCGTATTTGACAGAAACTAGTAGTTTATCTTCTACAACTTCTTGGGAATATGATGCCTTAGGTGATCCTTAAATTTATTGTACAGTAAAGGGTTATATAGCTTCGGTGTTCATTGATAATCCGATTTCGCAACAAATCGCCGATCCTCGCTTACAACAAACAGGTTCATAAACACTTTTATCTTTGTTCAGCACTGGAAGTATATGCCTTCCAGAGAAATATACTTTAGGAGGGACGCTACAATTAAAAAGTTCCTATTGAAGTTTTCACAAGTGTGTATTCGCTATTAAAATACAACAACTCGGACACCTTCTATACTGAACTTGTAAACTAATTTATTGCTCTTTTCTCCAACGTTGACATGGCAATGGGTCCTGTTCTCCTGCTGCTCAGTCATAAAGTTTAAACATAAAAGTCCCTATTCAATTTAAGCATGATTTTGTAATGTCTTAATCTCGTTGCGAAAGTTTTTATACAAATCGATACATCTCTGTCACACTAATTACAACTCTTTTCTAGTTCAGTTATGGAAATGAAATCTATAGTTTTATCCGTCAACATTTAAACATTGATTTTCTATTTAAGAGTTTTTGAACTTGCTACAAAATGTTTATCTTCTCTTTAAGAAACTAATAAGTTACTAGATAGGAGGGTTTTTAGTTCTAGTAGTAAAAATTTTTTTAGCCAAGTTTGTAGAATGTAAAACATATACAAATCGATCACCTTCTCTCTTCAACTCGTAAACTAATTACGCTTCCCTTTGAATTTGAATCGGCTCTCGACTCGACGCGTACTCGATTACCCGGGGGTGGTGGGGGCGGCGCCGGACCTCCCCGAAGATGCCCGAACTGTTCCGAACGTGGGCAAGCCTCGGCGGCACCACACACAGTAGTGAGTGAGTCTGAGTCAGTGTATGTGTGAGTGCTGTAGTGATGAGTGCGAACGGAGTGGCGGGCAAACCCGCGACAACACCGGCGTCCTACCATTACACCTCCAGCAGCAGTCTGCTCGCCGCCTCCACCAAGACCCCACCCCCGACATTGCCCAAGTACACGGCGGCCAGCCCAGGGACCTACAGACTGGCGGGCCTAGAGAGGTTGGCCAACAGACAGCGGCTGTTCGACCAACCCGACTCCGCGGCGGTGAGTCTATATATAGTGACCATATGGTGCACGTGCCGGGGGCGGTGGTTCGGAATCTATGGGGACGTCTGCTGAGTGGGAAGTCGTGTAAACTTTGAGGTTAGGGCCTGCTATTGAGTTGGCAGAGGATATGAATTTATCAATGAGTGGTACTGTAGTATTTGAGTTGGTAGAGAGGAATTCATCAATGAGTAGTAGTAGTGGCTAAATGGATTTGAACCTAGATTACCCGTTGGGAAACTGTTTTCTAAAAGTCTTGAATAACTCAGGTTTAACCCAGTGTAATGCGTTAATTGCTATAACTTGAGTTGAAACGATGGTAGGAACTCATTAATGGAGTTATCGTAGCTACCCGGGTGTGCCGAATCTACTTTTAAAGGTACAAACTCGTGTGTTATAAGGGCGGTTCGCGTAGATACTTCATCCATGATAAAATGCAGAATATGGTGGCTAAAAGTCTCGGGAGAACGTTGTTGCAAGTTTTAATTTAATTGAAGAACACGTTTGAATGATCCCCGGTGGTGTAAAATCTAACAAAACATGATCCCCAGTAGTGTAAAATCTAACAAAACATGATCCCCATAGTGTAAAATCTAACAAAAATGATCCTCAGTAGTGTAAAATTTAACAAAAAATGATCCCCAGTAGTGTAAAATCTAACAAAACATGATCCCCAGTTGTGTAAAATCTAACAAACCATGATCCCCAGTAGTGTAAAATCTTACAAACCATGATCCCCATAGTGTAAAATCTAACAAAACATGATCCCCAGTAGTGTAAAATCTAATAAAACATAATCCCCAGTAGTGTAAAATCTTCTACATCACTTCAACACAGACAACTTCAACAAATACCTCTAATACCATCAGTTTTTGCATGTTGGGACGTCAGTAAGTAACCATAATTATTTGTGAAGCCACGCAGCCAAATATACGACATTTCTGGTTGCTTTCCACAACACACATTTTACACATTGATGATCTTTGAGTAAGATATTTTTTTTAATTGCTTGTGTCTGTAGGTACAGTATCTCCTATGCCGTGTGATTGTAGGAGAGAACTCATAGTGAACCGGACACGACGTCATATTCAAATTTGACGCTACGAAGCGTAAAAGACATCTTGGGAGCAGCCAACCATAACTCGCAATTTGTTTACAAAACAGATCCAATAACATTACATTTCAAGGTTGCACATGGAAGGTGTAGAAAACTATAATGGATAAGAACTTTTACAGCACTTGTGTGAAAAGTTTCGATTGAAAAGCTAACATGTTCGACACTTCGCTTATCACTATTCTTATCAGAGTTTCCTGAACTCAGCCTCCTCCCATTGATAAGATTGTCAACGTTGGTTTAGTTTAGCCTTTAACGCGTAAACATTTTTAAATGCTTTTTAATTTATAATCAACTCTTGTAGGTACATAATTTCCCCACCATTTTTATGCTTTAGGAATCAACAGTTTTATTGATATAATAGTCCACTAAAATAAAATTACAACTTCATTTAACACCACAAGATTCATGCATTAATGAATTACTTGGCTAGTTTCCAGTTGGCATAAACGAGATGTGTCAAGTTCACAAGTTTTAAGTTTAGCTATATAAGTTATGTTTGCGCAAAAACACTTTTTTTATCCCCAACAAGTTCGTGCTAGATCGACTTAATCGGCGAGAAAATGTGAAAGACGTAGAAAATTATTTAGACTGTATCTTGCCTATAATTTAATTTATTCGACACATTTTAGCGAATTTCCCTATAGGGAAGTAGCTATTACCGTAGGTGGCACGGTAAGACCTAGACCCGGGACCGATTTACTTTTTCATTTTGATGTCCCCAGAGGCCAAAAACACTATTCGTTCAAATTTTTATATATGTATTTATATATACGAGAGGTCGTCCAGTGGTCGAAACTCGGCCAAAAATATGTAATGTACTCACTTCTCTATTTTCACCCCACACTGTAAATAAAACATGTGATTGGAGTTTCTTCCATTTGTTTTGATTTTCTGTTTATATTTCGTCACCAGCATGGCAACGCATAAGATCCATGTTAATTTTTTCAAATTTTTTAATTCATTTTTTGTGCTTATCTTTGAGCCTATTTAAATTTATAAAGGGATTCTGCACACCTACAGGAAAATTGCTTTCTAACGGTATGCGTAGATTTACCCTACGATGCACACAAGCTGAGAAAAAAGGTTTTAAAGAAACATGCTTGCCTATTAATATATAGATAGATATCTATATATATAATTCCGTAAGTCAAATTTTTGTAAAGAAATTGTGAGTGACTGGATGGCCGTAGAAGGATGGGAGGGGTCTTATTTTAAAGGTCTTGACGTGAATTTTGAGGGAAAACTATTCATTTTTCTTATTTTTTTACCATAAATTCGCAACAGAATAAAACTTTTCCCATTAAAACAACATGGGGTTTAATTTGTTTACATCTTTTGAAATTAAAACAGCTGTGCCACAGATTTGAAAACAGTGATCAATACACGCATTTGGTTAACTTTTAGCCAGTCAACTATGAAATGTATACTATAATAAAACTGAAATATTGAAGATTAGTCAGAAAATTCTTTGTTTATATTTAAATCATATACTCAAGTTTCATTTTTTCATGCTTTTACGTTATTGTCGTGTTAAAGGAATAAACGACATAGAATAAATATTCTGTATAAATAATCAAAGAGTCGAAATTAAATCTAACTTCTGTTTTGTTTTTATTTTTAAATCATATGTTCAAGTTTATTTTAAATGATGTTGTTTTCTTTATATTTCTACACATTTTAAGGTTAAGGTTGTGTAAATATATACAACTAAAATAACCTATAAATGTTATTGGTTCTAAAATGGTGTATTTGCATTCCTTCGTAAATAAATTTTTTTAGTGCAGTGAATATACAACGTAGAATAATCATATTCGATCATACTTTTATAAAATCACCAGGGATTCAAGATGTTTTGGTATGTAGGCTGCTGGATATATATTCTTTTCATTATAAGTACCGTAATTAATTTGAACGCCAGGGGAATACCACAAAGGCGGGGAACTGTTCATAGGAATGACAGTGCGCGTAGGAGAGCAAGAGTAGATAATGACGAACTTAATCAAGATATGTTATAACCCCTTTTTAGGAGACCCATGGTAGACGAGAGAAATGTAAAGATCCATGATGCAGGATTATTGGACCAAGAGTGCATTCAATGTAGTGCTCTTCATTTTAGAGAAGAACTAACGAATAATCATTTTATGACATGTTGCCATAACGGACTTATTAACCTTCCTCAGTCAAAAACTAATGTAGAACTTAAAAGTTTGTTTGAAGAGAGCCCACAACTGTATAAATTCATTCGACAATGCAACAGTGCGATGGCTTTTGCTTTTTTTTCAGCCAGTAAGAAAGATATTCCAGGAAAAGGACCATACTGTTTCAAAATTCAAGGACAGATTTATCGTTCAATCTCAGATTTGCTGCCTCAACATGATGAAGACCCCGTGTATGGCCAATTGTACATTATTGACACATCAACAGCAACAGAAATTCGTCAAAGGCGTCGAGAAAATAGTGACTTAAAACCTGAAATATTGTCAAAACTAGCTGAAATTCTATTAGAAAATCCATTTGCACAAATTTACAAAAGAGTTTCGGAAGAAATGGTTGTACAAGGTGACAGTGAATTAGAACTTAGGTCTGTAGACAGGATAAATATGGATCGTCGTAGGTATAATAAGCCTACTGCAGATGAAATTGCAGGCGTCTTCAATTCATCTGAAGGCGAACCTCCAATGAATTTTTAAAATTCCAAACAGGGAAGCTTTTATTTATCCTCATTAACCACAAGACCAAAGCTACCTTAGTAAACCAGTATTTATTCACAAAATGATATGTTTGCTGCCTTTTCATGTTAAACCACTGGAGTGATTCAAGGTATTGCAAAAAGTTGTTTTACATTTGAGCTTTTTAGGGACTTATGTCCCTACAAGCCACTAGTATATATATATATATAGACTTATATATATATATATATATATACGTCCGTGAACGCGATAACTTGAGTAATTTTTGTCCGATTTTGATGAAATTTGGTTTAAAGGTGTAAAGCGGGATAAACTTGAATGAGTTCGCGAACCAGCACGATCGGACCATGGGAACGGGGCTTTACGGGGGGTTTTATGGGGTAAAAATTGGTTTTTCTCACTTTTGCCCCTCAAAACACAAAATTTCCCAATTTCTGTTTAGACCTTTTTAAAGAGCTTAAAAAAACAAATAATTTAGTATATAAAAGTATTTTTGTTCAATTATTAGTAACGGAGAAAATTAAAAAAAAATGTAAATTTAAAAGTCCCATGTTATTCTTATGGAGAATGTTGTCAAATGTTGTAGTTTGCTTGTTTATGAATATATTTTGATCAAACTTGTCAAATTTATTTATTTTGTACTAAGCTATCAATATTTTACTCAAAAACAGACTTTATTTATTTCCTTGTAGCAGCAAACCTAGGTACTCGTTAAACCTAATGTTATTAAAATATAAATTAACTAAAAATCAATTCAGACAAATGGAAATTCGCTTAGTCGGCAGGTTTGCTGCGGCGGGGGTATTCTGCTATATATACATTTTTGTGCAAAATAAAGATATTTGATTTGACTTTCACCCATCTTCGCCTAATTGCACCATGGTTGGCGTCGCACAAATCAGATATAATTGTTAGGTATTTTGTACACATATGAGCTGTCTATTGGCAGTCAAATGGCTTGTCGACCAAGTGACTTGTCGATGAAATGGTTCACTCTAGTTTGAAACCGAAAAAGTATCTATCCTTTGGTCAGATCGTTTAGGATAACCCCAGGATCGTTTGCGAAATCTTTACTTAAATCTTACTTGTAAACTTACATACTACAGTATACTCGTGTAATTGGTGTTTACAAGGGCAATGAAAGCTTGATGATTGGTTAACAGCCGTCGATGCGGGACTATTGTCGGCCAAAT